AAGAAAAGAAGTCTGACTTTTCTGCTATGCAATAATGGTGGAAAAGGTAATTTTCAACAATGTCAAAAATAGAATTTCCTAAACACTAGGAAAAAATGACAAATGAGTATTTTTCAACTTTTCTGGCCTTTTAGATTTTTCTTTTGCTCCAATCAGAATTTGGAATTGGACTCATTTTTTGTGAATCCTGTCAACATGGATTTCCTTCTCTTAGAAAATCCATTAAAATCTGTTTACTTTTAAAAGAGTGGTTAACACTATCACTATATTTATAGTTATATAGCTACAGTATTCTCATGAACTATTTTAAAATGTATATTTAAAAAGATTTTTTTAAAAAAATTACATAGCAGCTACATTTACATGAATCCCACCCCTTGCTTTATCAGGGGTCACCAAAAGTGCCATATTTGTGTCAGTAAGAGAAAAAGATGAAATAAAAGATGCTGAATTGGGTTGTGCACTTCAGAAACATTAAATCACTTTTCAGAAACTAAGAATCTGGCAAAACTATTATAGTTATAAAGGCTCTGTGTGCTAGTTGACATGACTCAGCAGGAAATACGGTAACAAACTGAAAAGATTCTCTTCAGAGAGAATAAATCTGTATACCAAATTTATAACATTCAGCACAATGAGCTGCATCAAATATTCTCTCCTATTTTCTTATGCATATTGCCATTTGCTTGTTCTAATGTTTTGAACATTTTAAGTGTTTATTTTCTGTTGTGCTAATTTAAGATAGGAAAACTTTGCATTTAGCCATAAAGAGAAGTAATTTCTTTTGCCACATCTTTCCAGTTTACCATTCCTGTTCCCCTTCAGTGTAAGAGGACAATAAAGTCAGGAAAATTAAAAAGTGTGTTTAACATTTGAAAATGTGCTATTTCTAATTAAAGTAGCAAAAACTAAAAATCTGGAAAACTATAGCTCTAAGGCCAAAAGACGAATAATCAAACTATATCTCCCTCTCTCCAATTGCTGACAGCAGTTGGTTAAAACAAGTAATGAGCTTGCTTATTTATTTCATATCTTTCATTTCTCATCTTAGCTCTGTTTAGACTTTCAGAGAGAAAAGAACAAGCACAGAGAAAATGAGAAATGTCTACTACAGCCTCACCCTGACGTCTGTACAATGAGAGGAAGAATATTCTCATGGAGAGGAGGCTGGACATGTGTCCTTATCCTGATTCTTCTCCCTCTGCAACCTTAACATATTGATGGGGAGTGTCAGACATATGTGATGATAATTTTTGCTACTAGTTTAGTTCTTGACTTAGAACCATTAATTTAGCAATCAATCAAAGTTGTAAGGATACTGAAAAAAGTTTTTATCCACTTATCAAGTCCCTCCCAGGGGATAGGCAGATGTTTTTATTTGATGGTGCTAAAGGTATCATCACAGAATGTAAGATATTCCAAAGCTGCCTTTTGCAGTTGAGTGATGGTAATTTTGCCAATGCCAATCGTGTTAAAGTGATGCTCCTAGTATTTTGGGATTGCACCCAAGGAGCCCATTATTATTGGTAGTATCTTTGCTTTCTTTTGCCAGAGTCGTTCTAATTCTATTTGTAGCTCTTTGGATTTTGTGTTTTTTCTCCAGCTCTTGTCTCCTCTTCTGCTATCTCCAGGCACTGCCACATCTACTATCCAGCCTTTTTTGTTTCTCTTATCAAGAATGGTTAAATCTGGAGTGTTTTGTGTAAGGTCCTTGTCTGCTTGTAGAGTTACAGAGCACTTTTAACTTCTTCATTTTCTATTACTTTGTTTATTTTGTGAATTCACCAGTTCTTGCTTGAAGGCAAATGTTATTTGTGCCGATATTTCAATGCACCATTGTTGCTACTTTGTCATGCTGTTGTTTGTAGTCCGTCTGTGCAATCTTCTTGCAGCAGCTAACTAGGTAGTCCACTATTTCTTCAGCTTCTTTGCAGAGTGGAATTTGTTATTTGTTGCTGTCTTCTCGATTCTGGCTTTGTACGCCTTTGTTCTTATTATTATTCCAGCCAGCTGAAGAAAATCATAGTGCCTCTTTCCTCCTCCATAAGAAGAAGCAGACCATGCTTCCAGAAACAGAGCTAGTGTGGTACTTGATTGTCCCATCTCTGCTTTCTCTTTAAGGGGAAGGAACAAACTATGGCCCAATCTATTTCAGCAGAAGTGCCCGAGTGACAGGCCCACAGAATCATTTTCTAGGTACAAGGAGTTACCAAAAAAGTCTGGCTGCGTTTCTGATTGTGCAGGCTCTGTTGGTTCCCCTCCCAGTTCCTTTTCCTGTACAAGGGTTGGGCAATGCAAAGGAATAATTGGGCACCAGCTGAGGGGTTGGAAAGGCACACTGGCTTGATGCCATTTACTCTCATAATCAGCATCCATTCCCAGAAGTCAGGAAGAAATAAATGGGAAGTAAGGGATCCATAGTTAATCAGGGCTTGCAATTCTAAACAGTTCTAGCACAAATACATATTCTAGGGAAATCTTTCTTATGGAAAAAAAAACCCAGCTAGCTTTAAGAAGAGTAGCATTCATTCATAGGTAAATATTTGAAAAACTGTAAAATGTAATTTGCAGAAAATTTTAGAAAAATCTTTACACTGATTATGCATATCATAAAATTACAGTCTCTAGGCCTGGAGACTGTAATTATTGTGTGACTGGGCTTTTGCCTCCACATGAGTGTAACTACTTCCTGCTGCCTTTCCAAATTGCTTTAAGGATGCTTACATTAGGTCATTAGCACTTTCAAAGGTCATTCTAGTTTTTAAAGCAGCACCACCCTTTTCAGGCTCAAGAAGAGGGAAAAAAACAGGTTTCGTTTTAATAAAATATCAGAAAGAGGATATCAGAAACCCTTGTGCAATATCCAGAGCAATTTTTTTTGAATAATTTTCAAAATGCTAATGACCTAATTATTACTGCTGGAAGAATAATTCAGTGCAGGTTTAGAATACATTTTGTTTTGTAGGAAAGATTTAAGATAAGATAAACTTCATTGTCATTTTTTACTGTGTGCACACTGGCACACAGTAAAAATGAAATTCTGTTGCTTGCTCTCAAAAGTGTACACATACATAACACACATATAAACATGCTATACACAACAGATGTATATACCTACACCCTTACATATAAGTACATATAAATATTAATCACTTTCCATCTTGAAGGAGGAAGTCCTTCTTTATAAAGACTTATGGACATCTTTATATAAACTTCAGGCTATTTAAAACAAAAATTAGTTATATTTTAAGTATAAAAATGAGGGGGCTATTGTTAGGATTCAGAGAGATATATCAGTGTTCATCCCTACCTTTTCCCCCCCATTGTTTTAAGGAAGCAAAGAAAACTCACATAAGTTGAGGAATGTGAGGGAAGCTATAACATGGACTTAGCAAATAAATATTCTGAACAGATTTATGAGGATAGATAGATAGATGGATGGATGGATGGATAGACAGACAGACAGACAGACAGACAGACAAATAGATTTTTTAATCCCAGGTTTATCATTTTTATGAATAATTCAAGGCAGCCAATGTATCTAATACTCCTTCCTCCTCCTATTTTTCACCACAACAGCCTGTGAGGTAAGTTGGGGTGTGAAAGAGTGACTAGTGCAAGGTTACCTAGCTGGTTTTCATGCCTAAAACAGGACTGGAATTTATAGTCTCCTAGGTTTCTAGCCTGGTACCTTAATCACCACACCAAACTTCATGACTGGCATCTTATTTACAGTATCACCTATTTGTTGTTGTTGTTTGTGCTTTATTAACTTTTCTGGACATTTAGTTAAAGAATAATAAATTTATTTCCAAGAGCTGAATTATATACACTGATTACGGTTCTTAATCTACTTCTTCCAGCAGAAAATATCCTCTCCAGTTAACTGCTGTTTTTCTTGCTCATTTCTCTACTTCTGTCCTCCAAGTAAGATTCATTTTACTGTAGTTATTTCCACTAGGAATTTCCCCCTAGGTCCCATTTCTAGCACTCCCCAGGGTAAATGGGCAGGGTAGATAATGGCTTCTGCTTCTTCACGTTATTCCTTTTGCTTTCATGGTTAGCATGGTTACGAGAACAGATGGCAAAGGAGAAGGGGAAGAAGAGGAGGGAAACACCTATTGATGACAGCCACTGTTGATTGTGTATTTAAACAAATGACTAGACATTCTATTTTGTAAAACCAAACTCATACATGTTTGTTCTAAAAATGAAACCCCAAATAACTGTAGCACTGTGCATTCTTTCCTTGGCCCATGAGTCTTAATAGATACCTTTTAATTTCACTTTACAGCAGTTTTTTAAAAAGTCCCAATCTCACAGCCTTTGGATGAGGTACAAGAGCAATTTTTTTAAAAAAAAGAAAAAGAAAACCAAAATACATTAACTGTTAAAATAATAAAAACATTGATGCATTTTAGTATATAGAAATAAATGGATACTGGCAATCATCCTAAGATTCAAACAGCAGTTTAAAGAAATAGTTTTAAAAGTCTTCCTGATTGAAAAGGAGTGTGAATTAATTGTATCTCCATAATGTCAGGCTATAATGACTGTTTCCTAGTCAAGTTCCCCTTGACTTCACATTAATAGATTACAGAGCTTAAAAACAATAACACTATTATTTTTACAGACATTAAACCGCCATGTTTACATCTGCCCACCCATACATTTATCTCTTCTTATTTGTCTAGGATCAAAACGTTTCCTCAAAGCTAGATCTAACTTGAATATCTATTTCAATTAACGTAGATACAACACAAGTTAAAACAGACATCGTACAGCAGGTGTCTTACACATGTAAAATACATATATTTTCTTCCTCCTCAAACAGATCCTCTTTGCTGATTCTTTATTCCCCAATTTACGGGCTCCATTAGTATTAAGTAAATATTGTTTGCAGGTGGTGGGCCACTTAATGGTAAACTGCCATTTACTGAAAGGGGTGGTTTATTACAGACAAGGGCAACTTATCATGATTTCTTCTTTTGTTTAGGATAATGGACCTACTCTAAACAGGAGACCCATGGCCTTTTCACCTGGAGGAAGTCCAACAGACAACAAGCAGACCTTAAATTTGCAATATAATAATCCTTCACGTCTGCATGCAAACAACAGTCCAGAGTCTAGTTTGCCCTCACAGATGAGTGGTCTCCATATCACAACTCTGCAAAGGTATGGAAGGCTACATGACAATGGAATTGCTTTTGGAGATGCCTGAATTGAATGAATGAAGTAGGGTTGCTGCATCCATGCTGCAAAAATGCAGGCAAATGCTAGAGGGCAGTAGAGAGATAGGGGAAGCTCTCACTTTTCACATCCCTTTAATGGTCATCTGGATGTTTTAGTCCAGACATGGTACACCCAGTACGAAAAGGTAAGTGTCGGGGGGGGGAGGGTTTGCACCATTTTTTCCAGATGAAAATATTCACTCTTTCACATACACTAAAATGACTATGTGCTTCTGTTGGAAGAGCATCCCCCCTCCACCTAAAATGGATTTAAATACTTGAGAAAAGTCATTTTAGCACTATTTTCCCACATGATTCAGCCAACTATTCAACTATATTACTAAAAGTCAAACTACATTATCTGGGCTCCAGAAATCCAGATGGCCAGTAGATGGCAGCAAAATGGAAGAATTTTATCCACCTTTATGTTGTCTAGTAATACGCTAGGTAGGGTAGCCTAATTAAAAGACACGTATCACATTGATTGATATCCTTGTTTGGAGTTATCTTAAACCCACTTTGTTATAGATTTTAAACTGATTTACAGCTTAGCATATGACAATAAATGATTACTTGTTCAACTGCCATAGGTAAAACAGTGTTTGTGTTACAGATTGCTTTATCTATTAGTACACAATTGCTAAAATAGCAGCCTAATAATTTTTTGTCAACATAAATTGGCAAAAGAAAAATGAAATTCATGTTGGAACATTCCCATTTGTCCCAGAGGTGGTTTTCAAAAGGCAACTGAAAATTGAAGAAGCTTCTTGAATGAGAAGTGAGACATTTTCAAGGAAAAACCAAGAAAGTCCAGTTGCCTTTTGAAAAGCACCTTTGGGACAACCATAATCTAGATCAGAGGTCTTCAAACTTGGCCCTTTTATGACTTGTGGACTTCAACTCCCAGAATTCCTCAGCCAGGCACGCTGGCTGAGGAATTCTGGGAACGCTGGCTGAGGAATTCTGGGAGTTGAAGTCCACAAGTCATAAAAGGGCCAAGTTTGAAGACCCCTGACCTAGATGATTGAGAATATCCATAGATACTCCCATTTGTAAAGCCATCTAAAAAAAAAATGTGTAATGTTTTTTATTTATTATTATTTTCCCCCCTCTGTTCAATTGTGCTGATTCTCAGAGAGTAGCTGGACAAGTCTCTGCAGTTTGCTTGGGAAGTTTTTTCAGAAATGTTTTGCCATTACCTTCCTTCTAGGACTGAGGAAAAAAATGACTGGCTCAAGATCACTCAGCTGGCTTTGTGCCTAAGAACTCAGTCTCCAAGTTTCTAGCCTAGTGCCTTAAACTATTACACCACACTCTCCCTTTAAATTATATATATGCAGTGCTACAAAGTAATAGTTTTAAATAGGCACAAGGAAGTGTTAAAAATGGGATGAGGATACATTTTTGTAATACATGACTATTTAGGCCTGAGATTTAAACTGGTCTGGGCTGCTAGATTAAATTCAGACATCTGGGTTTATATTGTAATAGCAACCCTAAGCTATCAGCTAGATTTAAGCACACGGCACCTCAAGTGACCTGCATGGTACATTGTATGAATAAGATAAATTCAGAAAAATAGAAGTTGGGGGCTGGTCATATATTAAGTTAAGATGCTGTATTTTCCAAGTACAAACATACTTTGGTGTTAAATATACACTCTTCTGAAAGCATAATTCCTATCATCTGAAGGACATTACCGTAGACTGCATTTAAGTAATTTCTTAGCTGGATTTTATAAACACGGATCACTTGAAAAATAACAGATCACGGCTGTATACTTTAATATCAGGAATAGAATAATACTAAAATGGAGGGTGGCTTGTCAAAAATATTTTAGATGTTTTATATCTATCAAATTAGAATCCACAATTTCTACTGATTCCAGGTGCAAATAAACAAGAAATAGGAAATCCACTCGGGATGATAAAGGTGAAACCAGGTGAAAATAAATCAGAGGAATGTCAGCAATTTTAGCTAAAATGGTGGCAATAGGGTCCAGCATTTTTAAGAGTGACCATTCTTAACAGTCATTTCCAGCACACTGTTGCATCTCTCCAAGGCTGGAGGGTTAGGGTTTCAGAATGCATCATTTAAATAAGACTGAACTGAAATGAGCTTCTTCTATTTCACACACACACACACACACAAATTTATGGGTGGCAAAATAGGGAGCTCTCTCTAAGGCAGAGCTTTTCAACCTTTTCGCCCATTGTACCACTTTTAGGATACCAGTCGCCTAGCAAGGTGTCAAAAACTTGATGACCCCCCCCCCAAAAAAGGAAAAAAGTGATAAAAGTACAGGTAGTCTTCGACTTACAACAGTTCGCTTAGTGACTGTCCAAAGTTACAACGGCACTGAAAAAAGTGCCCCCCCCAAGCTTCAGCCGAGCAAGACACCTGCCTGCTTGCCTGGCGACGCTCTTCCTCCTGTCCAAGGTTTTCATTGTTTGAGCATTTCTGTTGTGGATTGGCAGTGGGGGTGGGGTGGGGGGTGTTTGGTTTTTATTCCCCCTGTCTTCTGGGTAGTTGCAGCAGGTTTTGGTCACTTCACATGACCCTGGGACACTGTGACCGTCATAAATATGAATCAGTTGCCAAGCATCTGAATGTAAATCACAAGACTCTGGAGATGCTGCAACATTCCAGCTGACCGGCGCTTCTTCTGGGCTCAGCAGAAGCGCCAGGATCAGCACCAAGCTCCAGCTGGAGCCTGGTGCTGATCTTGGTGCTTCCACTGTGCCCTGACAACCCCGAAAAAAATGCTGATCCTGGCGCTTCCGCTGAGCCCTGACATCCCTGCAGCTCCAGCCATCTCTCACTCAGGCTTGTGCAGTGCTGCCACTGGTTCAGCTCATTCCCCTCCCCCACTACCACTTTTCTAGGATGGTCGCGTACCACCTGCCAGGTGCCAATGTACCACAGGTGGTACCCATACCACTGGTTGAAAAGCCCTGCTCTAAGGGACCCAGTATGATGGTATGAGTGACCATTATTTTTGATTTCTTAGCCATATATGTTTGCCATGTACATCAAAGAAAACATCAAACATTACATCAAACATTAATTCTTTTTCAAATGTATTATCGATTAAATGCAACCCAATCCACAAGGAATCAAATTTATAAGGAGTGAAGGTTTTTTTTAAAAAAAGTAGTATCCCTGAGACAATGTTTGGCAATAACAAAAAAATAACTCCAGTGCGAAATATTATTCAGTGGCGGGAGGACTTCCAATTCCTTCAGTAATTTAATTTAATGCATTTTTTTAAAATATGATCCATGTGTAACACAGTAAGTCAACGAACTGCAGCAGCTGTCTTTCACTTACCGATTAGTCTTAAATGTATGGTTCAGTAGCCAGTAGAATGAACTCAAGGGCTCTTTCATTGGCAACTCTTTGCATATAATAGATTGCACATGACCAACCATCGCTCCAGAAGCAAGGAAGGGGAAACAAATGGTTGAATCCTCATTAGTAGACATAGAATTTGTTTGCCAAAAGTTGCAGTTATCAAGCTTGTGATTTGATGAAACAGTTCTAGAAAACATTGTGAGAGAAGCTCCTCATAAAAGACTCCTTTTCTTTAATGGACTTTAGGTTGGTACCTCTTCAGTTGGCATCAATTGGTTGACCTTCATTTTCTATTCACACAGTGCTGATCCTCTAAGGTCTCTACCAAGGAACAAAAATGGAATTGACACAGACTCCGATGTGTACAAAATGCTACAAGATCATGAAAGGCCTGTTTCAGAACCTAAGCAATCAGGATCTTTCCGGTATCTGCAGGGCATGTTGGAAGCCGGAGAGAATGGTAAGCAGCACAAACGTCCCTCTTTTATGCCAACCTTAATGTAAGTGCCAGTCTTAGAAACCATACGTACAATGATTCTTGATTAGCTGTTTAGGCTGGATTTGGCATTTCAACCCCCCTATTGTGTCCTTCCCAAGGACCTGGGATAGGCAGATGTTGTTCGATGGTGTTAAAGATATCATCACAAGATATTTTATTTATTTATTTGTATCTCGCCTTTATTATTTTTACAAAGAACCCCAGGTGGCAAACATATCCAATATACCTTCCTCCTCTTATTAATATAATTAATCCGAGTTTATTAATATAAGCTGTTCCCAGTAAAGCTGCCTTTTGCAATTGACTGTGGTTTTGTTAACACCAATGGCGTTCTTCAATGCTCTGGTTGTTTTGAGGTTGCGCCCCAACGCGCATATTACTATTGGTATTATTTTTGCTTTCTTTTGCCACAGTTGTTCCACTTCTAACTGCAGGTCTTTGTATTTTAGTATTGATGTGAGCGGAGAAGTAAAAAGAAAAAAAAATCAGGAAAACCACCCAGAGTATGTGATTAAAAAGAACAGGGGAAGGGGACACTGACATCAGTATTATCAAGCAAAGGCTCAGAGCATTCATAGGCTATTTAAAAAGCAGAGCAGTTGGACTGTGGACATTGGTATCTGCATATCTGTATATTCATAAGCATTACATGCTTCATGTATATAATCTTGTATATAAAGATTTCTCGAGTTCCCTTTTTTTTGCTTAGTTCAAACTACATAGATTTTTTTCATAATATAATCCTTAAAAAGAGCCAGCTCCTAACATGCTGTCTTGCTTTTATTACAGACGTTTAAAGGTCTCTTTGAGTTCTGACATACAGTAAAACAAATAAATCTGGCATGCCAATGCTATAAAAGTGCACTTTAGCAGTGTTATTGCCTTGCTTGATTTCTTTTACATAGCGAGAGGTCATATCTTTCCCCCCCATCCATAAAGTAAAAACATTTTCTAAATTAGGGAACATCATCTGTCTTGTGTTTCCTCCATACAGCTCTTTTGTACCAGCTTTCCTTTGTTCCTTTTTAAATCTCTCTCATACCATTTTCCCCGTTTTTTAAAAAAAATTCTGATTTTATCTGACAAAACAGAACTTCATATGATATTCCCATGCTATCTTGCTTTCTTATTCTTATAATCATGATACCATTTTAAAATAAACACCTTAAGGCTAATGCTGGTCACCTGTTCCCTAAGCTTTATATCATCTGACATATAGCCCCATATTAGCTCAGGAAAAAATCCCATTGATTTCTAAAGGATTTCCTGCTTTCTGTGAATGCAGCCTTAGGAAGTTCCTATCATTCTGGTGATGAAGGAATATGTGTATGCAATAAAGCCAACCCCTTACTTTTGAATTCCAGGAGAAATTACAGGTATTCCTTGAGTTACAGCCCCAATTGAGGCCAAAATTTATGTTGCTAAATGAAACATCTGTTAAGTGAGTTTGCCCCATTTTACAACTTTACTTGTCACAGTTGTTAAGTTAGTAACACGGTTGTTAAGTTAATCTGGACTCCCCGTTGACTCTGCTTGTCAGAAGGTCGCAAAAGGAGATCACATGATCCCCCCGGGACACTGCAACCATCATAAATATGAACCAGTTGCCAAATCTCTGAATTTTGATCATGTGACCATGGGGATGCTGCAGTGGTCATAAGTGTGAAAAATGGTCATAAGTCACTTTTTTTCAGTGTAACTTTGTAACTTTGAATGGTCACTAAATGAACTGTTGTAAGTCGAGGACTACCCGTATTTAAACAAATACGTTTTCATATCTGGGGACATTCCGCATGCCTTAAATCAATAATACTGAAATGTTATCTTACCTTCTTGACAGGTGAAAAGTACGACAAAGTGACCAGTCCAAGACACATTAAATCTCCAGTCCCTAAACTGGGTGGAGCCATGTCTGGCTTGCAGGTGCTCCCTGAGTGTACCAGATGTGGTAACGGCATTGTGTAAGTACACGAATCTCCCCAGGAGCCTTAATAGTTTATGTCCTGTTTGGGAAAGCTAGCGAATAAAAGTGCCATCTGTTTCATTTTAAACTCTCATTGTTATGTATGGCCCATAAAACCACGTTATGTGCTGGGTGGAATTATAAGAGCAGGATGGCGTCTGGACTTCTTCTTCCATAGGAAGGCTAATTAAGTATGTATTGCAGCTTTAACGTTCACGAATGTTATAGTCTCTTGATCCGGAGTACCTCTGTTGTTCCAAAATTTGGTGGGAACTCCGCACAAAAGAGGATTCCCTGATTTCATTGGAATCCAGTTGGCTCAGAGATGCGGAATTAAGGAGCAGCTTGCTTTTGCAGACAGTAAAGCCTCTTCGTCTTTGTCTTATGAGCCAGGGATGTGCCCAGGTGAAACAGAACTGCTTGGGCTTATGTAACAACCTGAAAGAAATATTAATGGTTTTAATATTTAACTTTCTTATCTTCTCTCCTTCACTCTAACAGTGGCACAATAGTGAAAGCCCGTGACAAGCTCTACCATCCAGAATGTTTCATGTGTGACGACTGTGGCCTCAACCTGAAGCAAAGGGGCTATTTCTTCATTGAGGAACAACTATACTGTGAGACACATGCCAAGGAAAGGGTTAAACCACCAGAAGGATACGACGTGGTAGCTGTTTATCCGAATGCCAAAGTTGAACTTGTCTAAATAGATACTCTTATTTCCCAGCCAGGGCGAAAGGGCTAGAAGAGAGTCAAAAGGGTTTATTCTCAGTAAAATACTTTTCAGAAATCAAATGAATTACCCTTGGGACCTTAGATGGGATAGTACTGGTTGCAGAAAACCTTTGAAAAGAATAATTTCCTTCATTTCTTACAAAACTTCGCTTTTTGGTTGCTGTGCTGTTGGTTTTTTTTTTTTAAATGCAAATAATATTTGCTGTAAACCATCCAAAATCTATGTAAAAATAGATGCTTTTTAAAAAGAACTTTTCCATATACAACCAGTATTTCTTTTTGTCCCATTTAAAAATAAGGCACTTTAAGAACTGACAGTTTAAAGCATTGCATTAAATTTTACTTTTGTCAATAATATAGATATACGATAAATACTGCTTTGTGGCTTTCAGCCATAAACATGGCTGAGACCATGTTTATTAGTATTATTAATATAGTTAGAGAAATTCTCTTATAAATCCTTCTTCAAGTGGTGTTGTTATAGTTGCTGCCTATTTGTTATTTTAGTTATGTTCAGTACCTAGGAAACAAAAACGGAAAATCTTTTTTGAGTTGAGCTTTACTCCTGGTGGTTTCATACAGGGGCTACCATATCTAAGCTGCCAAAATTTGGACACCCATTAAAAAGTAGTAGCAAGCTAGAGGATTCTGTATGTTTTGTGCCCTCTATGGTTGACTGTTTTGCAGCCTAGATGTGGTAGCCTTATTCACGGACATGGACACTATTTTTTTTGGTAATAATACAAAAGTCATTTCACATTTTTCCTGTGAAATGTGTGATAAACAACCCCTTTTTGTTGTCCTTGTGACACATGGCAGCATTAGTAGCTGGAACTTTCTGCTGACCTAATACTGCCCTTTAAATTCTCCTAAAGAAAACATTATTGGAAACCCATAATTGACCCTGAGCTGGTCAAGAGCAGTGAGCATATTAAAGATGATTTGTGTGTTCTCAGGTCCTTCTAGATCACGTGATGTTGACACTTGTATTAAGATTAAGAACTCTCAAATGTAAAATTCTCTGTAAACAGAAATGTATGAATGCATGTACAGCAAAGAATCAGATATAACAGAATCTTTACATATGATACCAATGTTCTTTTTTTCCTGTGAGATACCATAATCTCTCTTGCTGTTTATTCCTTTGTATCAAATCACACGGACAACTATTTCTATTACTTCCTCCTTTGTGTTTAAACCATAAGATTTTATATTCAAGCCTGAAATATAGAACCGTTCTCAGATTCAGTTTATTTGAATATTCATCTCTGTGGCAAACATTTCAGTCAATATAAAAGAAATCCAGATAACAATAGGGCAAAGACCACAAAGTGATTTTTCATTTTGAGTTTTCAGAACTGAATGTCCTTGGACATACTGAAGTCTTTTCATGTTGGAATGAATTGAATGAAATGCAGAAGAATCCATACAATTATAAGAAAATTAAGCCTCATTTCAGACAAATACACATAGAAGATGATTGGTAGGTAGGTAGGTAGGTAGGTAGGTAGGTAGATAGATAGATAGATAGATAGATAGATAGATAGATAGATAGATAGATAGATAGATAGATAGATAGATAGATAGATAGATAGATAGATAGATAGAGACAGAGAGAGAGAGAGAGAGAGAGTGGCAGAGAGACATTTATTTCTTGATAACATAGGATGAAACTTGCCCAATGTGAAAACTACATTATGCTTTAACAAGTAAAATGGAGCAACAAGGATGAATAAAAGTATGTACTTTTAGTTAAAACATAGTTCTCTATACCATTAACACATTGTCTGTATTGTTAGGGTTCTCATTTAAAGAAGCTTGATTGACTGAGTTTATTTTTTTTCTATCTGCAGTTATTATAAATGCATATACAGTATTAATAATTCATTTAGCCAGAAATCCGACCCTGTCAGCCATATAAGCTATAGTAGAAAACACAGAAGCTTTTCCTCCATCTTTTTTTTTCTTCGCCCTCCACCTGCATAAAGGACTAGTGAAATTCTCATGCATGCAAAGAAGCTGCTGATCCCCTGCCCTTGAAGTGCCTACAAAATTCCCTTTGGTAGCTTTCTGCCTGCCACTGCTTGCAGGGAAAATACTGATCATGTCCTTTCAGAAGGACCACTTCTGCTGCATCCTATTTTTAGCCATCAGTAATAGGGAAGGTATCTCAGCATTGCACTGCTGTTTTGCTTTTTGGGTTTTTTTTTTCTGACTGATTAAACAGGAATACCTTTTTTGGTGTATCAGTATGAAACTAGTTAATTAGTTACTAAAGCACTGCAACACTTATTTTCACATTAGCTCTATTATGCAAGGTTTCCTGTCAGGTGGGGAAACAGTCCTATTTGAATTCTTCAGTAGCTTCCAACTCTTAAGTTATCACTAGTTTTTATGATTTTTCTGACCTAATATTTATGCTTTTCTCTTCATGGAATCATTTCAGTAAATCCAGGAATATTTATGTATTATTATAGTTATTAATCAAGCAATGTTGTTGTTGTTTCATTTCTTGGTTGCCAAGAGATAGCTATTTCTTTTGCAACAGTTGTGAACAATTGCTCCAATTTGGCTTATTTGTGTTGATCCTTAGAGCCCCAGGTATGATTATACTGTTTTGTGGGTTATAGTTTGAAGTGCTCTGAGGAACGCATATACTATGAGCCTACAATTTTACAAATTGCTGGGTGCCTTTAAATTCAAAATTGGTACCTAATCTCTGCTCCTTGAAATCCAGTTGATAATTCACAACATCTGGTTTTATTGAAGGGTCTTCCCAGTTTATCTCACATCTCTTTTGTCCTTTCATTATCAAGTGAGTTTGATAAACAAGCAATCTTTCTTGACTTGTGTTTAGGATTTTGCCTGTAGGGCGCATTCTAATGAAGCGGCAGACTGCCTGTCCGTGGTCCCCTTTGCACAAGTGCCTTGAAACAGCCACCATAATTTCCAGATTAGAAATAAAGATGTTTTTACAAATGTTTCTGGGTGAGCAATTTACCTATATGCCTTGCAACCGTTTCTTGAAATCAAAAACTAAATCCAGTCATTATTTTAATCAGATACTTCATTAAATATACCGTAAGTTTGTTTTTCATTAAAACCTTCTGCTTGGCAAAATTATTTCAAGAATTCACAGTGTGAATTCTTTAATATAATTTAAGGAACAAAGTATATGTTTCATTGTAATGGCTTAGAATATTCAGACCTTGGATTCTAGTTTTCTTAAAACATTTATCAGTTTAAAAACTGCTAAAGTCGATCATACCTATCACTTTCCTTATGCTTATTTTTTTTCATTTTGCTAATAGTTATTGCAATAAAACTGAAACCTAAAAGGTGGATATCTCTATATATACACATGCTATAATAATCATATAGTTGCTTGACAATAAAGAACATCTCATAGGATAGAAAGTAACTTGCAAATAAATGAGCCCAGATATTTCTGGATTGAGTAGTGCATCACAAACCTGATATAATCAACTTTTTCTCTTGTGCAGTGAAACACAGGTTTCTGAATATGTTAGGCTATAGATCAGTTTGCATTGCTCTTGGTTCCCCACTTCAGTTTCATTTCAAAGGCTGTTTTTCACCCTGCAGGAATCTGCTGTCTACTTCAGATCTGTTATAATAATATTAAAACATGTGGCCCATGTTGGAAATTCATTAGACTTGAACTGTGAGCATTATAAATTGCATACAACTAATTGTGAATAATTAGTTAATTCAATGATCTATTTCAGGCTTTCCTGTATGCAAATAACTTTACTAGCCAAGGAATGAAACTTTCTTTTTATATTTTATCTGCATGGAAATTATTAACACTCAGAATTCCTACAAATTTGTCTCTTGCTGGTTTCTTTTCTAAATTGATGATTCACGCGGTATTGAAATTAGAACCATCTTGCACAAGAATATTTTGTTATAAATTCATTTCCTTCTAGCTGTGCCCCTTATCCTACACACATTTTTTGTAGCATATTATTAAAACTGGAATATGGTTTGTTGCCAGTTCAATCAAGGGATAAGACATTTTTTATTTGTGTGGGTTAACTAACAGAAAAGCATTTTAGGAAAACATATTGTGTATGGAGTTTAAATATATTATGAGTCTACCTGATTATCAAATGAATTATGATTTAACTATTTCATCACCACTACTATAGCCTCAGAAGTTTTTTTATTATTTCATAGTCTGTCATATTCAGAAACTATGTGGTTGGTAATATATTTCTCTTACATTGCCAGCCATCAGAATCTTGTGACAACCATTTACAAGATTTTCATACCCCTGATCACACATTCATTTCAGCACTGGTATACTTCAACTTTAAAAAAGGCAAATTTTGTCACAATGTCCTATAGTACCAAAGGGGAAATCTATTGAGGTATTTTGATCATGGATCGTCCATTGAGAGCAGGGATGGTAAGTTCCTTGTTTTCAATCTTTCAATTCTCATTAATGTCTCTTGTGGGGGAATCTTCCAAGTCTCTGGAGTAGATTTTGAGGAGAAATTGGGAACAGGGCTATAAAATAAAGGTAAAGAAGAAAAAGCTCTATTATGTGACCCAAAATCGATTTGGATGACTTTGAACTTCACTCTTAACATATGGGATACCATTACTAGCAATAGATAAGGTGGAGGGCTTTTTTAAAAAAAATACTGGACTGGATCATAACCAGAGTTTCTCTGCAAAGATGTCTTTTAAAACACTGAATGAACCACTGAATTGGTTAAGGTGCCAATGCCTTATCTTACACAAACAGTAGCAACTATGTGGGGTCCTTGGTGCTCTCTGAGCTTGGTTGTTTTCTTGCAAACTCTAGCACTGAGGATGTTACCTAGATTGATAATGAAACGTCTGCAAGAAAACAACCAAACTTAGAGAGTGCCAAGAACCCCACAGTTCAGCCGTGAGCTACAAATATTTTCTTCTATTAGTAAAAGTGCCACAAATATAAAAAGACACAGAAGCAAAAAGCCATAAGGACATCATAGTATTTTATTTTAGTACAGAACAGACTTTTTCTGAAGCAGAACTGATGTCCATGAGAAGATACAGTATCTATGAATGGAGGGAACACCAAAGGCAAAACATTGTGTGGTGAGAGAAGATAGCTTTCTGCACTGGTCCCACAGATTAGGAAGAGTTTAAGTCCAAAATATCT